CCGAGCCGCCCGCGGACCGCAGCACCGAGCCAGCCCGCCCGCGTGGTCCCGCCGGGGCTCGGCCCCCACACTGTGCCGGCCCTGCTCCCAAGCCCCGCCGCTCGCTCCAGATGCATTGCGCTGGGCCTGGGTGCGCCGGACGCTTCCCCGGGACAGCTGCACCTCGAAAACGGGCCTGTGCCCCCCCTGCTGCGAAAGCGCCCTCGAGGTCCAGGAAATTCGGCCATTCCCGCACTGGCTTGTGAACCCACAGAGAATCCGTAAGCGGGTTCATTAACGTGCAGACAGGGAGGCGTGCACAGCCTGCAGCTAAGCTCTTTCACGTTGGAAATTTATCTCAAATAATTGAAGCATTATTCAAAGCAGTAAAAAGTTTTGTGGTAGCGGCTGCCCTAGGAAGTTGTAACCCTTCCCAAGACACACAAGTCCGAGTCCTCCCTTACTTGAAAATCACAGAGCTTTTGCACCGCCTGGGGCACGGCAGATGAGAGAGAATGCCCAAATAGAAGCTGGCATCGCAGCACTAAATCAGGCCTCACGTTTCCTTTATTGGTTTTAATAGTTCATAGGTTGGGCAGAGTGTTCAGACAGAGCTTTAAGGGCCCGAGGCATCCTTAAAGTTTGAGCTCTACTCATTTTTCTTGCTAGTTTTTTACAATTTTCTACCACGAGGTCTTTTCTTGGAAACCACCTGATGGTTTCTGAACCATTAAAAACACGCACACAATTTTGACAGAATTAAAATGCACTCACACCATGGAAATATTCCCTGCTTCTTCAAGATTCAGGAGAGCTTTCAACATAAATAGTTCCTATGTGGAAGGTTTTGGTTTTTTGGTTTTTTGGTTTTTTTAAAAATTTTTTTCTCGTACCGGGAATTGAACTCATGTCGTTGCGCTTGCCAGGCAGACACTATGCCGCTGAGCTAAATCCCCAGCCCCAGGTTTTGGTTTAAAATTAGAAAATGGCAAAGGAGCTGGACATGCTGGCTCATGCCTGTTAATTCCAGCACTCAGGAAGGTGAGGCAGGAGGATTGCAATTCAAGGCTAGCCTGGGTTACAAAGTGAGTCCAAGGCCAGCGTGAACTGCATTGTGAAACCCTGTTTCAAAAGGACAAAAACAAAAGAAAAAAGAAAGAAAGAAAGATAGAAAAGAAAACGGCAGAGGAAGAAAAAAAAAGATGCAGGATTTGGTGGGGTATACCTATAATCTCAGCTTTTGGGAAGCTGAGGCAGGAGGACTGCATTGGGTAAAAGCCAGCCTGGGCTACGTAGTGAGTTCAAGACTAAAACTACTAGGGAGACTGAGTCTCAAAAAGAGGAAAGAAAAGAAATACAAAGATGGCAAGTGATCACAGCAGGAAAAAAATGTAGTAGAAATATTTGAAGATTTTAAGGCATAGACTAAATGAATCTTTTAAAGAAGTGTCAGAATAGCTTTGCCAGGGGAGGTAGGAATAGTGTTTTAATGACTGAGCTTTGATCCCTGTCATGCAACATAAAAGTCTATATCTAGTTTCTGTGTAAGGAAATGAATTAATAAGTAAAATGCTGTTTGGGAGAACTTGGAGTTAGATAGCTTTGACACACATAATATGTGTTCAGTAAGTATTTCTGGAACAAAAGTCACTTTTGAGGTCAATCTGAGATTGCCAGTCCGTGAGGAGTCTGAACTCATTTTGCTTTTTGTTGTGCCTCACAAGATCTGCACTCAGTAGGTTTTGTACAGGGTCCTTTGAACCCAGCTGAAACCCAGCCAGACTAGATCCGCTGGCCCAGCTGGAACCAGACCACTATCCAGAGGGTGGGGCACTGGCACTGTCTGGAGGCATTCAAGGCTTGGGGAGACAGCCTTTCCTATGCCCCCTGCCCAACCGGGATCTCAGTCGGATGGCCGGCCCTGTCCCTTTGGGCACAGAAGTTTCCACGGCTCTTGATCATTAGAGAGAAAAAAAGTATTTTTTGCACAGCGCTCATTCACAAGGGACCCTTGCTTGGACGCACAGTACCTTTTGGTTGTGCACTTGTTCCTGAGGAACAAGGTACCCAGCTCCAGAGTCCTCATCTCCCTGAAAGCAAGTGTTAGTAACTAGGAAACGATAGAAATACATTGATGAGATTTGATGGCTAAATATGAACTGATAGGCTGAGAAACTGTCCAAATCTTTTATGAGTCTTGCTCAGAGATTTGAAATAATGAACTGGAAATGCATTTTATTAAAGTATGCCATCTTTCTTTTTAACTAGTAAATGCAGCTGTCTGAAAGTCTGCCTAAACATGGGCACCAGTGAAGAGAAGCTTTTCAGAATAAGTTGCATAACAACACATAAAAGATGGTATGTTTGCCAAATCAAAAGGAACAGTACTGACCGGGTATTTGATTTTGAAGCCTGAAAGACAGTGGCAGGACAGTGACTCATTTCTAAACACTTTAAAAGCTTAAGTGACCTTTCAGTATTATCTTTGAAAAACGGGAAATTAAAAGTCTGCTTTATATCAAAAGTTTAAATCCAGTCTTTAAAAAATAAATAAGAATACAAGAGGCTGATATTTAAAGCACTACCATGCACCTGATTTAGTTATTTTAGAAAATATTGCCTTATCATGACACAAGAAATAGTACTGTGAACACATTTCTCCTTATTTTCAAATTTGCTTTTGGAAGATTTTTTGCTCACAGATATGCATAAAGCAAAATCTCCCTACTGAACTTAACTTTGCATACATTATGTATACTTTGTTTCTTCAACTCAAGGAAGATTTGAATTATAATCCTATATTAATTAGTTATCTCACCACACATAGTGTTGAATTCTTTTGACTGTGTGGTCAGTTATTGATGACTGTCTCTAAGTGCCATGGTAGAATAAAAACCTTAGAGAAAGGAAAGAAAAGATGGAGTTTCATTTAGTTTTAGTTTCCTGAGTCAGAGATATTTTGTAGTGAATGATTACAAAACCAAGTTTGCAAAGCAGAAAAGAATGAAGATTTGTTATGACTCAAAAGTAAAAGTGGAAAAGAAAGCCAGGAAAAGAAAGACAGGGGAAAAGAAAGAACAAGAAAAAGTCCTTCCAAATGAAATAGAATGAATAGTGGTGCCCGATTCTTTCTCTGAAATCATCTCTCCTCAACATTGATTTTAGAGTAGCAATAGCACTATTGCCCTGGGATGGGCCAACAACAGTTCAGGCGCTCGTGCAGAATGAGGAAAGGATTGCCAGGTGTACAGCCAGTAGTAAGCAGCAAGCAGCTCCATTTCTTGAAGATCACAGTTGTGCTCAGGACAAGTCCATGCCACTAAAACTATAGCACAGTGAGAGAAAAGTGCCAGGGTAACAGAAAATCACTGCACAGAGGTCAAAGTACACCAAAGTAGCCACAGCAACACAGTGTTGATAAGTCAAGCTCTCAAATTTAAAGGCCAGGCCTCCTCTTAGGTTCCTCTCCTGCATCTCTGGTTGTGCTTGGCCAGAATGATTGGCGGGATGCTGAGTCCTCTTAAGGGCTGTCAACATGTCTGCTTGTCCCAGAATTCACCCTGATCTTAATTGTATTTATGACTTGAAGTACATATTTTTTAATTTTTTTATTTTGAAGAGAATAATTTTATTTTTCCCGGTATCGGGAATCGAACTCACGACCTCGTGCTTGCCAGGCAGGCACTATGCCGCTGAGCTAAATTCTCAGCCCCGAGAATAAAAATTTTTAAGAAAAACATTAAAAATGATACAGAATTTCAAAACAAGATGATAGGAAATCAACATTGTCTCCCTATTTTTTTAAAGAGAAAAAGAATAAAATTTCAAAATAAGGTAATAGGAAGGCAACGATGGTTAATACATTGCATTGAAGTACATATTTATGAACCTGTAATTATGCAGGAGCAAGTTAAAGGTGACTGGAAGGTCAGGACAGGAGATCAAATATGTATGTCCTCTCACCTAGAGAATCTGAGACTCAGGATTGTTGTTATTTTATTTTCTACCCCTCTTCAGACAATGAGAGCAGAAAAGTCTAAACAAAATCCTGTTTACACTTAAATGGAGGGTAAGGAGGGACTCTGTCAGCTCCATTGTTTCTATCTGCACTAGCACCATGAAAAGATAACCCTGAAACCTAAAAAGATCTGACATTAAATTTGTCTTCATCTGTTTTACCATGCACAGCTATGCAGTACCAGAGAAGAATCAGAACACCCCTTAACTAGAACAAATCTGCAGGTTGTTGGGACTAAAATAAGTTGTATTACAAAAGGAAAAGTTAAAGGGTAAATCAGTGGTCCTCTCACCCAAAGTCAGTGTCGCTCATGGGACACAGTATGGAAGGGTAACAGGAAGCTGAGGGAAGATGGGAGGAGAAAGCCCATGTTAGGTTTCCATGTGCAAAGTACCTAGAGAACCCTCAAACCTGTCTAGAGTTTTCATGTCCATACCTCCAGGCCCCAGGAGCCCTACTGAAGTTCCAACCCGAAGGAAATAAGCAGAGTTAGAGGTACCATGTCGTCAACTGTGGTTGGAGATGGAGGTTTCAGCTGTTCCCATGAGAGAGTGTGGATCTTTTGTTGGCAAGTTTTTAATTACATCTTCAATTTCATTGAGTGATGCTGAGTTATTTAGAATGTATATATCTTCTTGATTCAACTTTGGTTATTTATACGTACCTTGGAATCTGTCCATTTCTTCTGTGTTTTCCATCTTATTAGAATAAAAGTTCTCGAGGCAGGTATTGATGATTTTCTGGATTACTGCAGGATCAGTTGTGATTTCATCCTTTTCATTCCTGCTGCATGGATTTGAGTCTTCACTTTCCTTTTTTGATAAGATTGGCTAAAAGTTTACTAATTGTATTTAACCTTTCAAAGACCAACTCTTTGAGTTATTGATTCTTGGTATTGTTTTCTTAATCTCAATTACATTAATTTCTGCTCTGATCTTTATAATTTCTTCCCTTGTAGGTTTGCTCTCAAGTTATTCTTTTTCTAGAAGTTTGAGATTTAATATTAGGTTATTTATTTGAGCTTGCTTTCTTTTCCTGATGTAAATTTCCCTCATAGGACTATTTTTACTATGTCTCATAAATACCTGTGTACATTTAAAATGTGCCACTAAATTTAATTCATTGAAAAAAAAGAAAATTGAGCGCAACATAAGTCTTAATAGCATTATATGTGTGTGTATGTGTGTGTGTGTACATGCATGTGTGTGTGTTATCAGTTTCCTGCTAAGCCAATTTCTGACCTAAAGCTCTGAAAAAATATAAATAACTTATTTTTAGACCTAATGATTAGGTTTCAACAAGTATGAACAGTAAATATTCCAGGCAGTCTTGAATTCCTTTTTGTTTTGTTTATTAAGCAGAGGCATCTATTAACTGAATCAGGACTGAAGATAATAAATCTTTTATAACCAAGGCTGCATGAGGTGTCCTCAAAAGAAAGTTTTAAAAGAAGAAGGCCTCTTGAGATTCAGACCTTTCCCAAAGGTAGGAAAGATAGACCTCCAACATCCTTACTCTCAAGAACTGTTAACTTGTCAGTGTGGATTAGTTGTGACGTGCATTCTTACCGGTCTGTGAGGACAGACAGGTCTCTCTGAACATCTTCTTGGGGCCCCAAAGCTGAAGTTTCCTGACTGCATGTGTAAAACCAACAACTCATGAGGCCCTGTGAGGCAGAAGGTGAGCAAAGTGCTGAACACGAAGCAAGACAATCAGGAAAGCAATGACTGTTCCTGGGAGGGAAAAGATCAAGAGTTCCAAACCAGGTTTAACCCGAGGGTCAAAAGGAGAGTCAGTGATTCTTCTGCTAATATGGATTTGGAAAGGAAGGAACCTCCTTTTCTCAAAGAGTCACTATGGACAAATTGTCAGAGCTGCCCTCGTTAAGTCTTATGGTTTGGATCTAAAATGTCCATCAAAGGTAGTGTGTTGAAGGCTCTGCTACCATTCTGTGGCACCACTGGGCAGTTGAATCTTAAAGAGACAGGCCCCATTGGGAAAAGTTAAGTCAGTGAGCACTGAGGGATATTGGAACCCTCACCCTCCAGTTCTCTGTCTCTGTCTCTGTTTCTGTCCCTCTTTCCCTGTCTTTCTCCCTCTATCTTCCTCTGTCTCTCTCTCTATCTCTGTCTGTATCTCTCTCTGTCTGTCTCTCTCTCTCTCCCTTTCTCTCTCTCCCTGGTCACCATGAAATATAAGCAGGTTTGCTCCACCATGCACTCCACACCATGATATTCTGCCTCACACATCTAAAACAACAGAGCCAACCAACCACAGACTGAAATTCTAAAACAAAAATAAATACAGAACAAATTTTTCTACCTTTTAACTCATCTCAGGTACTTTGGCTCATCAGTAATAAGGATTCTTACCTTTCTAGAGAATTTATAAGTTTCCACAAGATCTTATCTGTAGCCTCTAGAGCCAGTAAGATATCACCAGCATTTTTTTTGTGTGTGGCTGCCTGAATTTGTAGGAAATGAAAAATTTTCTTTTCTGTAATACTTGGTAAATTCATGGTTGAGAACTATTCGACAGAAGACCAGGTAACAAGAGTAAAACACACAAATTTGTTTAGTAAGTTATATGTGACAGAGATTTCTTCATAAAAAAAGTGCAGACCCGAAGAGACAGGTAAAAGTTGTATATTTTTTCAATGCTAGATTTGATGAAGAAGTGGGAAGCATACAGTTGTAGAGAAATGTCAGTAAACAATGGGGGTGTGATCTAATGGAAATAATCTAGGGAGAATTGAGCAAGGCCTATTCATGTCTTTGTGTCTTCAGAAATATGCATGAACCTTTACTCTGGATATGCATTGAGCACCATTTTGGTGGGGGTGCAGGGTGTGGGTGGGCATGAGGAAGTAGACTTGCTATGTTGTCCCAGTTGGTCTCAAACTAGCCTGGTGCATACTTCTTAGATGAGCGCCTCTCCTGATTCAGGAGAATGTCACAGAATCTCCCCTAAGTTTTATGATCTACTTTAAGAGTAAAAGATTTGGCTACTCAGAGAACTGCCTTCTTGCTTCTTGATTTTCCTCAAATGCCAAGGTGCCATATTTCATTGTAGTAAGCCCTGAACTTCATCACCTCCAAAGTAAAGATTGTTAAATCCCATTTTATCTACAAAGAAAGTAAATGTTAGGGAGCTTATTGACCTTATTAGTAAATTTGATTTTTGGTGGTGCTGGGGATTGAACCCAGGGTCTCATACACGTTAGGCAAATGTCCTGCCACTGAGCTGCAAGTACAGTCCAGTGACAATTTCTCACATCCATGAAGTAGTTGCTTTAATCCAAACTTGGGACCATCTGGTTCCAGTGTCCTCAATTCCATCCTGCCTTTCCAGTTACACTTCCTATGGAGGCTTAGCAATGGCTCCAGGTCAGGTGGAATTTACAGTATTTCTTTATCTCTGTCTGTTTTCACTGCCCTCCCATCTACTTTCCTACCACTTCCTACAACTCGATTGAAAATTTGATTAGCCAAGCTCTTTGTTTTTATAAGAATAAGTAATAAAGTACAATAAAGTGGTTAGTTTGTGGTAAACTGCTCAATTTTGAACTAATCAATTATGTCTAAGACAGGGTTTCTCCAAGGATGACTTTTCATCAAGTAAGATAAAATGACACCTTTCCAGAGGATGACTCAGAACCTGAGAGGTATTTTGAGATTTGGTATTTGTAAGTATAGCCCTACTTGTTGAAAAATTTTTAATCCTTAAAATTGATTGCATTATAAGCACCCATAGTCAATCAAAAACCAATACTGATGAACCTGAATTAGTCAGACATCAATATTTTCCTCCCTTTATCAAAACAAAACATTGATATGAGCCAAACTGTTTTGCAATCAAATGACACCATATTCACAGACCATTTCAAATGAGTAATGAGAACTTCTAGTTCAAGTAGGTATTTTCTATAAATTCTCTAAAACCTTGTTGTTATAGTAAAAATATTTTATCATTTAGCTTGAAAGTAGGAAACAACTTTTTCCTTAGAAAAAATACTCATTGTAGTTGAGTACTGATGTCTGATGACCTCTCAATAAAAAGGGGCACAGGGATAACCAGTAACGTAATTTCCTGAATCAGGATCTCTCAGACCTCCTCTCTTCAAAGTGTTTCTTTTTGTTTGGTAACTTGAAGTTTCAGGTTAAGTGCTTCAACATCAGAAAAGCAAGTTTCTGTTATGATTTAAATATAAAGTATACACCCAATGACTCATTTATTGAAGGAACTAACCTTTTCAGTACACTGATGAGTTCCTTGCTGAATGGACTATTAGGAAGCGGGACTTCCTTCAAGGAAGTAGATCACTGGGGTCATAGCTTTGAAGATATTTCTTTTTCCGGCTGTATTCCTGTTAACTCTGTTTCCTAGTTGCCTTGAGGTAAGCAGCTTTCCTCTGCCCTGTCTCTGTGCCTTGATGTTTCTAGCTTAGCACCAACTGACCATTAACTGAGGTTCATGAAACTGTGAGCCAAAATGTGCCCTTCTTGCTTCAATTGTCTGT